GACTTCGCCGCCGTTGGATTTCCATTCGCTGGATTTCTCCAGAGCTCCGCCCACTTTAAAAATAGTGCTAGCATTGTGGCCTATGATTGTGGCAGTGGTATTATCCTGAGTGTGGGAAGGGGCACTGCATGCAGGTTTGCAGAAGCAGCAGAGCGGATCACATACCAGCAAAGGGCGTATTGATGGTCCCTCGGCTCGTCGTTAACTGTGCGCCTAGCGTAATGGCCTTCGACAATCACATGAGTGGAAAGTTTGGCTGCCATCTACGTGGTTAGTGAGTCGCGCATAGCGAGCGCGTACCTGAACAGGTAAAGCTCGGGCGTTTGTTCGCATGCGCCGCCATATCAAGTGTAGTTGAAAGCAAACGACCATTATTCTCTAACACAGCTAGGTGTACTGGAGCTTAACCGCGTGCAAAACCTGCATCATCCAGGATGGAGGCTTCCAGTGTTTTCTATCAGCTCGTTATCTTTGTAATACTGTTCACACGTAAGTAAAACTATAACTTTGTATTGGATTGTTGTAGACTCTTGGCGAAAAATTGCGAATATTGCCTTTATTGGTCGTTGTAATAGGATGCTACCTTCACCTTGTTCCCATCCTGCCGTTTCTAATGTAGGCCCTAGGGTGTGTCTGGGCGCCTTCACTGGCAGCAAGAACCACAGGCACTTGAAGCGTTTCAATAAAATATAATGCTAACTAAATACGAAATCTATTTAATACCAAATTCTTAATGTTTCTATACTCTCTTTCACCTATTATTGCCGACAGTTTCCTGTCAATTCCGTCCAAATCCACGGTTTGCACGCTTACCCTATAATATATAGTGTATTATATACGATTAGGACGTGGATATTCGTCCGAGCATCGGACACCTGTTCGTATGCGCTATTCGTCCGAGCAGCGGTTACACGATTCACCCAAATCCACCCAAATCCACCAAATCCACCCACCCCAAATTCACCACACATCCAATCACCAATCACCCCAAAATTCACCAAATTCCACCCCAAATCACCAAATCACCTAAAATGTATCCTCGAACTCTACGGTTTAACCAACTGATGTTACCTTTAGATTTAACCAATGATAGCAAATCCATACTGAAATTCACCAAATACTCTGACACTTTGCACAATTTACCGTGAATTCATGTGGACTTTGCGTTATGTTATGCGTTAGGGTTAGGGTAGGGCTTAGAGGTTAACTGAATTTCAGTGAATGTTCAGGTGGATTGCCATCTTTTGTAATATTGTAATAGCGTATCGAGTAAATTTCAGTGGATTTATTGGGGTGGATTGTGGTGGATTTGGGGTGTGGATTGTTGGGGTGAGATTTTGGTCTTCCCACTGTGAATCGTGTAAACCCTCGAGCGTTGCTGCGCTAGCTCTAGAGTAGTTACTATGGGCTAGTAGTAGTAACTATAGCCCGCGGATCGCTGCCGCCAAGAGCCTATTGCTTGCGCATGCGCTGTTTGCATGTTGTATACATAAATGTAATATATGCTAGTTTTAGGGAGTCGCCTACTCTCCAACCTAACTCTAATACTAACCACTAATTATTTAATTTAACTCTTAACCTAACTCTAATAGCTAACCACAATCTAAAACCTACCACTAATTAATTAACCGACTCAGGTTTGCTATATATAGCGCTGAATGATGAGTTACCAAAACATATCTTATGGTTATTAACCACATAGGCAACGTAATGTATGCAGTGGCCTTGAGGGCGTCACAGCCGTAGGGCTGCGTAGCAAACGCCAAGGCAATAATGCCTTAAAGGGCAAAATAGTCCCTAATATATATAATATACATGAAAAATTTTCAGAGCCTCGCCTAGATTTTAAAATTGGTTGGGGGGGAACCCCTCAGACCCCCTTCACACTTCCTATCTCCGACACTAGAGGCCGTGCGCCTGCGGCACGCTACATCAACAACTGCTCGGACGAATAGCGCATACGAACAGGTGTCCGATGCTCGGACGAATATCCACGTCGTTACTATTACTATTAGTGTAAGCGTGCAACAGTCGCGCCGCGAAAGCAATGGCTCCGGCAGCGTATATGGTTGGACGTAGGATTTGGACGGAATTGACCACTGGCAGCAAGATCAAGCCCGCACGTACAGCACACACGCGGCGCCATTGACTATATATACAACGTTGTGCATATAGTTGTATATATAGGCGTCGTTGTATATATAGTCAATGGCGCCGCGTGTGTGCTGTACGTGCGGGCTTGATCTTGCTGCCAGTGGAATTGACAGGAAACTGTCGGCAATAATAGGTGAAAGAGAGTATAGAAACATTAAGAATTTGGTAGTAAATAGATTTCGTATTTAGTTAGCATAATATTTTATTGAAACGCTTCAAGTGCCTGTGGCAAGAACCAGATGAGACGGGATACCAGAGAAGCGTTGCCGAAAGGAGGTGTTGATCCGAAGCGCTAAGCGCAGATCATTTACGTGTGGTCTTAGGCGTTTTCACTATAAGTTCCAAACATAAAAAGTTCGAAGCATAAGAAAAATCGGACCATTATTTAATGGAAAATTCGATAAAATAGTGATAACGAAATAGTATGCGGATTGTGCGCCCAGTTACCTCTTTCAAATCATACGCTGTTTAAGAATTGCCATTCGCTGCATTTTCCCGGAGCTCCGCCCACTTTAAAAATAGTGTTAGCATTGTGGCAGTGGTATCCTGAGTGTACGAAGGAGTTAGTGTTTTGATTTTAGATTTTCCATGACAGCAGTAAGGTGAAAGTGCAGCATTTCAATACAGCTTACTTCATTAGCATTATATATAGTATCTAATCATTTCGTGAGAGCTTCTTTTTGTATATATAAACAATTAATACATTATCTGCCATCTCTATCATCTATGTGACCTTGCCTTATATCATATGCACCCCTAGTCCGCAAATGCAGACGTTATAACTCCGCTTTGCTAATCTGAGGGTGGTGGTATCATCACCCCCATTACTGGGGTCTGCGTCGGCTCGGACTAATGCACCCCTACCACTACAATCTCCCACTGCCATTGTGATTGTCAGTATCAGGAACTAGCTAGAGTAAATTGCTTGGTATATAAGCAGGGGTTGTCTAGTATAGCTGATAGGGTCTATGTCCCCCAGGGTACTGCCGGAACGTACCCTTGGTACAGTCCGGTATACCAGAACGTATCCTGGTACTAAATACTACTATCTAATATGCCGGATCGTACATCGCCTACTCCACTAACGAGTCTAGGGAGTCGCCTACGCCTACTCTCTAACCCTAACCCTAACCCGAACCCTAATCCTAACCCAGGGTTCTCCCCAGGATGAAATTCAAACAGGGGGGAGGGGAGGGGAAGGGGGAGGGGGGAACTAGGGGGGTCCTGGGGGGGGGGGAACTAGGGGGGGGGTGTTTTTTTACCGACCACTAATTAATGCGTAAAATCGCCACCACACCATAGACGGTATTTAGGGTTCTTGTATATATAAGATAGCCGAGTCGGTGTACAGTTAGTGTTGGGTGTGGGACAGGTTGACTGTTTGCACTTGTGTATTGTCTGCAGTGCATGCCGTTGGGCCACGCGGTAAAAAGACATGCGCGGGTGTCCTGCGTCGAATGGCGAATCTTGACGATCTATTCCCGCGCTGGCAAACTTTTATTGTGGTGGAATTTAATCGGGGCGGGGTAATTTAAACGGGGCGCAACGATTGAAACAGGGGGGACTTTTCCCAAACGGGGCGCGCCGCGCGCGCCTTGTTTGCGCAACGTAGGGAGAACCCTGTAACCCTAACCATATCAAATAGTGACCAGGGTACGTTCGTAACCGGACCGTACCAGGGTACGTTCCGGCAGTACCTGGGGACATAGACCTATGAGGTATAGTACAGGGTTCTTCTGAGGGAAAATTAGACAAAGGAGGTAATGGCCAGTTTGGGAAAAATGCGCATGATGGATTCAAATACAGGATGTATTGATATACTTATGCTGAGAGGTTCTATGTCCCCCAGGTTACTGCCGGAACTAGCTCTAGTACTATAGCCGCGTACAAGTTGCCGCTGGCAACTGTAGCGGGCTATAGTACTAGAGCTACCCCGGAACGTACCCCTGGGTACGGTCGGTATACCGGAACGTACCCTGGTACTATCTAATATGCGGACCGTACTCGCCTACGTCCACTAACGGAGTCTAGGGAGTTGCCTACACTACTCCCTAACCTAATCCTAACCCTAACCATATCAAAATAGTGACCAGGGTACGTTCCGGTATACCGGACCGTACCCAGGGTACGTTCTGGCAGTACCCTGGGGGACATAGACCCTATGAGCTATACTTATAGGTATATAATATAGATACAGGATATACTTATCAGTAAATACAGGAACATTTTCACAACGGCGATGTTAAATTTGACAATGGCGGTGTGCCACTGTGCCTCTTATGTATATGAAACCCTGTAGTAGTAGGTACATCCTTATCCAATACTAACATCAAGGTTGTTATGTAAAAGTATTTGGACGGAGCTCGTCCTCCACGTCCCAAACGTAAGTCGCAGGAGGAGAAATTAGATGGCCAGAGTGTGTATGATAAGACCAAAAGGATGCGTACGTTCCAGCCAGCGTGGAAATCGTCATACCCGTGGCTAGAGTATGAACCGGCCAAGCGCAAGGGTATGACCTGTGGTGCAGGCTGTATCTCTGGTAGTTTTTTCACCGGCACTACAAACGTACAATCGTTTGGAAACTGTTAAAGCGCATGATGCTTCCGAGGGGCACAGAAAGATCATAGCAAAAAGAAATGCAAGGACCATGCCTGTTCACGAAACAGTGGGGGCAAAAACACTAACTTTAATGAACAAGGCCACAGTAGCAAAACTGAATATCCTAATTAGAAATGCACAAGCTATTGGAAAAAACGGCAGGCCCTACACCGATTACGTCAAGCTGTGCCAGCTTGACAAGGCCAAAGGGTTAGATGTCGGCAGCACTTACCTCACCGACAAGGCCTGCCAGAGGTTCATTACGGCGATAGCTGATACAAGGCGCCGGGAACAGTTTGGAGCTATAAATGAGGCCAAATTCCTTGCTGTGATAAGTGACGGATCCACAGATTCCTCATCAAAGGAGGCCAAAATTTTATTTTCGAATTAAAATTTAATTTAATTTAAATTTTAATCTTATGATCCATATCAAAGTTACGTTTAAATTATACAATTGAATGTCTTTTACAAAACCTTTCTGGGGGAGTCGGACACCCCTTGTACCCTGGGGGAGAACCCCTTTACCCCCTAGCAGAAGGGGGGGGGCTCTACCCTCCTACCCCACCTACCTCCTGGCAAATCACAATGCTCGTCGCTCTGCGCCTAGTAAGAGTCCTTCGGCAGGACTAGTAGAATCTTCGAAGGACTAGTAAATTTTTAGCTCATCTGACATAGTCAGATGCAGCTTGTAGAATTGCATGAGCGTGCATTCGGCCGTGCGTGCGTGCGTCAACAGTTGGGCACAAATCTTAACCGCTCGACGTACGGTCACGATATTCGGGACGTGGGGGGGTAATCCGAAAACGAGTTGGGATGTCGAAGCTGTGGGTCAAAGGTCAAAGGTCAAGAGGTGTAAAAGAAGGGGGATTAACTTAAGGGATAGGAGGAAATGCAGAATTGCGGCACAAATCTAAACAGCTCGACCTAGGCTCGTGATAGTCGTGTATAGCATCATGGTAGAAGCCCCATACTGTGCCGAAATTGGAGGTCAGCAGGTCAAAGGGGCAGATTTTAGACATTTTCTAAGGACATGGTCTGACGGGAGCGATTGAAAAACTTTTTTGTTTCAACGGTGACCTACCATTTTTATGGCTTTATTGAAAGGACCATGAAATGTACTTTCCGCTGACATGCGAAGAGTAAGTGTCGGATAACCTTTTGACCCTCAAGAGGAGGGTTAAACATTGATTTGTTGACTGTTAACAAAGGACTGAACTGCTTTTGCTATTATTAGAGCCCATACCTGTGTGAATGTGAGGCTACAGTTGCACAGTGTAATTGCAAAGGCAAATGTTTGTTGAACAAGGTTTTACAGGTAAAAAATACAGGTATATACAGGTTTTAAAGGTAAAGCAGTCTGTCTATAGCACCCTGAAGGCTGAATCAGTGAATGCTCGCGTGGGTAGGCAATAACACGGGGCAGCCCATGGCTGGCACTCTTCTAATCATAATTGTTGCCTGCCAACCTGCAATGCACATGTGTTAACTCACAGCTGAGCGAAATTATCGCCTGCCTGAATATACTTACTTGGATTTTAGCCTGTAGGATTTCAGCAACTCTCCAGGGAGCTAGTTAGGGTATCTCAAGAATGGCGATGCCATCTTTGATTATTGATTACACTTGCACGCGCCATCTCGCGGCAACTATAGGCCTAGTTTAAATTAGATTTTATTCTCATGTAACTTTGTTAAACAAATAAATAATAACTAGTATCATATAATATATATTTACTTTTCATCTTGAATTTTAACATATATCATGTAGCTATGGCCGTGCGTATCCATTTACCAGTTATGCGAACATAAGCTGTTACCATAGAAATATTAGAGACACTATATATTATTATTTCTATGGCTGTTACACTCAGCGGCATAGGAACAAAGTATTATTGAGGGGGCAGTAAAAGGCATCATCGCTGGGTTTAAAAAAAAATTTATATAATTAAGAGAGAGAGTAGTCAATTGAGACGGGGACAGGAAAACGGTGATACAGTGTGTATGCGAGCGGGAAACGGGGTACAATTAGGTCGTGCGAGATGGTGTGCAAGAGGATGGGAGGTGGGAGGCAGGGGGAGGGAGGTCGAAGGCAGAGAGAGGGAGATGGGAGGTAAGGGGGTGGAAGTGAGAGGCAAGGGGAGTGAAGTGGGAGGGAGGGAGGTGGGAGAGAAGGACCCCCCGCCCCCTCTAATTAAACTTGGAGATCCATGCTCATATGTTGAAATCTTTTATTTCATCGTAAATGTCATTCATTAACTTGTATTTGAATTGTTATTATTGTTCTTGTTATTAGAATTAGCCCATAGAGATTAGGTGGGTGCGAAAGTGTAGCTGATATATTTGTTCGAATTGGCTACGAAAGTCAAACAAGAATAAAGAAGACTTATTATAATTTATATGTATAAGACGGATTGCTATGCACAAATGAATTCATCAGCAGAACACCAGACACCAGATGAGCCCTGTCGCACTGCGGCACTTGTTTTTTTTACTAGTCCTGTGGACTAATGAACTAAAATGGTTAGTATCTAACCCTGATTTAACTACCCAGTATGGAAGTGTCTAAACAACCGGATCCGGTTTCGGTATTTCTTTCGGTATTCGGTATTCTGTATTTCTTTGAATTTTATTTGTTTCTGCATTTATTTGTTCCGTATTCATTTGTTTGTTCTGTAACTTTTGTTTATGTTCGGAATTAAATATATTTCGTTATGTTTTGCATTAAAAATTATATTTGTCCTGTTATGTTCGGAAACTGACCAATCAGAGAAGAGAGCCGTTGACCAATCAGAGAAGAGAGCCGGTTGTTTAGTTTTCAGGCCTCCGAAACCGGGTCCGGTCGTTTAGACACTACCTATAAGGAAGTATAAGTATAACCAGGGATATTAGGTGCATAGATATTGTTGCGGCATTCCGCCGGTGTACGCATTTTCCTTTCGGTATCGCCCGCTAGGGGCGCTTATGTTTTGGTAAACAATGCAAATAGCGGCGTGTTTATGGCAGTGTGAATCTTCCACGATTGAATAATATATATCAGACTGTTTCACGAGTACACACGTCTTCATTATTCAATGTGTTTAAAAATATTAAAGGTAAGCACCGTCACAGATATCATCAGGCATTATTAATAACAAATAATGTCATTATTAACCCCTGATATCGTATATACACTAGATAGGATGCCTAGTTTAATATAGAATTTTATGCAATGTTTGTTCAGGCTATGATATTGTTTGGGCTCATGATATCTATATGGATCATCTGGATGACCTGTAACGTCATCAAATTGACTAATGTACATATTTATATACTATAACATCTACATACCCAGCTCGGTTATATGGGTACAATTTATTTAGAAATCATGTACTAATTGGGTCACTTCAAAAAATTATGTCAACTTCAGTGACAAATCAGCAGACTGGCCGACGAAGGAGTGAAGAGTCATACAGATGCTATTCCTGCGGATCCAGTGACCTGACCAGTGCTAAGTGTGGAGAGCGAGAAACACCGACGACTGTCGGCTGCTGCCAGGATCCATTTGACCACCAACTCATATTGAATGCGATGACTGACCGCACACCTGTTGGTAACGAAGGCATAGTGGAAGACTGCGAACTCTGCTTAAAGATCAAATACAGTTGGAAATGTAAGTTGAAGCTTATAGGCTGCTCTTGATCCGTGTAGCATTTAGTTTCGTTCCGACAATAGTGGGACTAAAAAATGTTGTTTCACACATGTAGGACATCTACATTTATATTAGGAAAAAAGCTCTCCTTAGGAAACCCTGCAGTATTTTTTTTAATAAATAACACTCCAATCATGGTACTATGTTTTATACTCGCAATCGGTCAAAACAGCAGTGTGATACAGTACGTTGTCATGTTGCTATCCTGTAGCATCTGAACTGGCTGAACCCTGATCGAGTATCTAAATAGCTCCGTAAACAATTGTGGTGCCCATCTGTTTGGCAAACATGCGAATTGGATGTGAATACATCGTTGTATAATGCACTATTACTCTGGAACACCCTTCACCAAACTTAGATGGAATCAATTTTGCCAGTACATGCTGAAGAATGGCTATTTAGTGGTGTTCTAGGCGAAACTCATCTGAAATTATTATCAACATACCAGGATACTGTTGCAAAACTTACAACTGAAACTCATGATGACATTCTCATCATGAGTCTAGACATAGATGTTGCAATTATTGCCATTTCACTAAAGGCCAACCTGGCGGCAAATCTATTTTTTAACAGGTGTGAAAAACAGATCTGACAACATTGACTTAGAAAAGGATTACACGACAGCCAGTAGCGGATTATCTATGGGGCAAAGGGGGCATTTGCCCCCGGCCCTACAAGTCGACCGGCCCTAAAGTGTTGTGACTACAAAAAAAATATACTGTTTATTATTTTTCCCAAAGTATATCTTGGGCCGGCCCTACCACTTTCATATGACTACATTTGTTTTTGCTTTCTACTTGTTTTCATTTTCTCCGTGTTTTGTGGTGTACATTGCAGCAGCTAGGAATAATATTCACTTTCAGGTAGCTAGTGGGGTTAAAACTACCAATTTTTCCAAATATGATTTAAAATTTTTTTTAACTCTACTAATTATTTTAGAACGTTTCCTTTCCATTTTTCAACATTAATTGCTTATAATTATCCACTAAACAGGTCTAAAAACATTATATGCTTATGGGAAGGGGCGGGTGGATGGGCGGCCCAAATATATGATATGCCCCCGGCCCAGGCAACTGTTAATCCGGCGCTGACGACAGCTCTTGGATCTAAACTATTACAGCTCTGATTGGCCAGCAAGTTAATGATAGTGGATGTATCTAGTTTCAACACAAAATTATTCCTTTGACCTTTCTTGTTGCTAGTAATATTTACGCAATTGCAGGGAGAAGGCCTGACGTGTATTACAAGAGGATTTGTGTAGTAAATGGCCGTGACAAAGCTTATGATGAACTCATGTCAATTCTGGACATAAGATACAACGCAGACAAGTGGTGGCCGTGAGTATAACAGACTTGCTTCGATATTAATCTTTCTTGGTTAGCCTTAATAAAAGAGAGAGAGAGAAAGATTGCTCAAATGGGAGCAAGAGAGGAGAGAGAGACATACAGAAAGGAGAGACTAATTTCAATTTATTTGTATTTTCACGATAACTGGTTCAAAATACGATCTCTCTCCCTCTCTCTCCCTCCCTCCCTCCCTCCCTCTCTCCCCCCTCCCTCCCTCTCTCCCCCCTATCTCTTCCTCCCTCCCGCCCTCCCTCCCACCTGTCACTCCCTCTCCTCGCTCTCTCTCTGCCTTTCTGTCTGTCTTATCTGCGCCATCTATTGGGAGAAATAATTGCCAAACTTGCTTTCTTCACATTGTGTCGTATTGTCATTGTAACGTATATTTTAGGCAGTGAAATAGTCAGGGGCGTGTACAGGGGGGGGTCTAGGGGGTCCGGACCCCCCCCCCCCTGCTCGTGCAGAAAACGCATCTGAGGTGGTCTAATTTCAAAAAAATTTGCGTGCTCTCGCAAGTTTGGGTTACGGTTAGACCCCCCCTGGTCCAAATCCTGTACACGCCCCTGATAGTTAATAACGCTATGATACATACGTTATGTGTGATATTGCTAATATCCAGAGAGACATGATACAAGATTGCGTGGCACAGCTTTGCTGTTGATCCTTAAATGTTCAATGAATGACGCACTCATTCACTTCCGAAAGCGAGTAAAAATGCCGAACTTTTCCACTTCGATGCAAAATGCATCGGCCGGGCCTTTCATTATTTACGAAAAGCAAACAGTCTCGCCAAAGACCTACACGCAGTAACAGGTCACGTCGTTGACGCCCCATTCATGAATAATTAACGAAGAAGGCGTGGCTAATTCGGCTTACGGATATGACGAAATGCGATGCAACGAAGAAGCTGTGCAGTGCGCGAAATAGCGTGTTATTTCGTATTCATGGCAAACTCAATCGTAAGAAACGGTCCTAGCATAGCAGAATGCCCTATTTCCTGAGATTGGCGATTCCGTGGTGCAATGGGTCCCAACCTTAAAAATATAAAAGAGAGGTGCGCCGTAGACTGATTGGAAGACACAAAGTGTCAATCCTCGGCGAGCCTCGTCATCATGGCCGCATCACGTCTAGTGCTGTACACTAAAAAATTTCATTGCAATTTTGAATGCCACATTTTAATAGTTTTACACTGCTCTTGACGAAATACTATTCGAATCCTCGGACATTTGCTGCCGTCTCTTCACAGGGACACACCACGAGAGGACAGGTGGAGAAGCAACCAGCAGGTGAAGGATTTGAAGGCGCTACAAAACGGTGCGTGTCTACGTCGAACGGAGGAAACAGCCGTTCACGATCTTTTCTTGGACATTTGTTCTTGCAAGGGTGACTTGTGCAATGGCGCAATCAGTGTGAGGATGTCAGCAGCTATGCTGTTTGTGACATTTGCCTTCATCATGATGTTATAGACCATGCAGCACACGTGCCAGCAAGAGCTAATTCTATATAACTATGAGGATCAATGATTAGCTCTTAAAGACAGGTTATATGAATCTCATTTTGAGAGGGTGAGTTGGAAAGAGGCAGAAATGCACACATGGGGGAGAGAAGTGGTTATTCGGTCCACGATAGCATTCAGTATCTAATTTGCGTGGTGCAACCGATGTGCATATTAAACTCGCATGCATGTGCCACACATCAATGCTGTTATGTTGTTCACCATGTGTACATAGTACATTTCAAGTAAATCTCTCTACACCTCTGTATCGGTGGTGTGAATGCACGAGGAAAGACTGCACATGTCAATTCACATAATACACCAAAGTGCCTAGGTAACAATTTTAAGGTCAGTTTAGATGCATTTATTTTGTATTGTAACTTTGGTTGCTTCCTGTGTAGTTTTTCAAAGGCCATTTGTGAGGAATTTATGAAAATACTCAGCCTATTTGACAAAAGCATAAATTCATTTGGGTATGGAGAGACACTCTTGGGAAAACCCATTAAATCTTCTGTGAGAATACTCAACCTATTATTTGATATAAGGAAAAATTCGTTTGTGTATAGAAACTCTGTTAGGAAAACCTTCATTACTTTTAAAAGGTGTATATAGGTAGATATAGTGTGTGGCTGGGTTGTGTCTTAAACAAATTGTTCTTATTTTAATTGCACTTGTGTACATATTTAAGTTGCAATTCAATACGTGAGGTTTTAACCAAGCATGACATGCACAGTGTGTTAGTATGTCATCTATTTGATCCGTTCTCAGTGGAACAAGCTATTTAGTGTGTCTGTCATCAAATCATCATTATCCAGCTTCATATTCAAGTATCACGTTTTTTGTAAAAAAAAATGTTGCAATTGGTACTTCACTGGAGTAATTATTTTTGGTAGTACATTTTTAAGAGGAGCGTGGTGAACCATTGCCTGAGATAATCGAGGATCTCATGAATCTCATGAGCATAGAGCATCATAGTATTATTTCACAAATGGATTCTCCTAACAAATTTGTTGCATATCTATACCATGATGGGTGCTTTGTCCTATCTCTGTTTGTATCATATATTCTGACTAATATTCTGCAACTGCTATTCCTACTTCTTCAGTCTTAAGAAGGTGAACACTTAATTGCTTTTAATTATTGTACTCTTATAGAATGTTTAGCATTGCACGAATCTCTTAAGTATCGACTTCTGACCAGTCAGATGTTAAAACATCACAGTAGCAATGCTATTCAAAATAAGCAAATACTTGGAATATTCACCTGCACGTTAAAATATACATCCTGGTTTGCAATACATCCAACATCACTGCTTATTCCCAGAATAGCATTACAACTGGCAAATCACCAGCGCGAGATATCCAGAAGAAGTTTAATAAACAATAATTGTTTTACAAATAATTTATTTCTTCCTGATATTGTTATAATAATAACAATATGGCACAATACATTCAGATGGATCAATCTCTATAGTACTTTTGCATGTCCAGTACACACAGCATGTGATGTTGCAAATGGGATATCCATGCATATGACATCAAATAATTGCATGGTTTAGAAACTATCAAGCAGTTCTGTGACGCAGACATAAACACACTTGCATACTTGCATACTTGCATAATCTCAGCTGGTATTAAAAAATAATTAAGTATCCACCCAACTGAAAAATCATGGGTCATGATTTTGTTGGATGTATACTTAACACCATCAATGGGTTAATTGACATTATTATCAAATGCAATGCATAAACACCAACATGAAAGATTCCACAAACGTTTCCAATTAATCTTTAAAAACGTATAAACAGTCTACAGGATGTCAAGTAACAAGTGACGCCCAAAAAATAGGAAAATAGGAATTTCAGATGTGAAAAAATAGGAGGAAAATAGGAATTTTGGTGAGAAAATATATGTTAAATAAGAATATTTGTTGCGTTAGATGGCCTCCCAACACCCCTACAGCCATCCCGATCCACCACAAATGGTTTTATTAATATACATATTTGGAGTTACATCACATGCGAACAATATTTTGAGGTTTTAATGAGAAATGCATGTTAAAATTGATAAGTGGGAGGGGGGGTTAGGGGGACCTCCCCCAAGAAAATTTTTAAAAATTGGTACATTCTGAGAAGAATGCAAGATGAAATTCCAAATTTTAAACAGAAAATGATCTTTTGTTTTCCATTTTTGGGGGTAAAAAAGGGGGGGTCTGGACCCCCTGGACCCCCCCCTCTGGATACACATACCACATACCAACTGAGAAACAACTTTACTGAAATAAAATCTGTGATAGTAAAGAGTATATTACGTTAATTTAAAGTAAGGGGTGGGTTTCTGGGGGTCCTCCCCCGGAAATTTTTGAAAATTGGGTCACCTGAAATGTAAATTCCTGCATTCTGAGAAGGATACATACAATTCTGGATTCAGAAAAATGAAAAGCCCTCAAAAATAGGAAAAAATAGGAATTTGTCCAGAAAATAGGAGAAAATAGGAATTGCCCAGAAAATAGGAAAAAATATGAACTTGATGCCCTGAGTTTATAAAATTGCCATGACAATTTCACAAAATGATGAATTCACCAGTTTCAGTCGGTGGAAAACTATAAAACCACACGTTTCAGATCTCCTGTCCTATTTGCAGTGAAACTAGAATCACACACAGATCTATCAAATGTATCACACAAGGGGAAGACACTAGTTAATAAAATGAGTATATGCTGACTACCAGTCGACCAAAAACCAACCTAGAGTAATCAACAAGACATGAGATTCTATATCCGTATGCCATGATAACTTCATGCATAGTGAGTTTTATGAAAACTAATTCATAATAAATTTAGCACGTTTTGTAATCAAAGGCACTGCAGTGTACACGCATGGATGATGCTGCATGACACCATACAGTGTACACGCATGGATGATGCTACATGACACCATACAGTGTACACGCATGGATGATGCTGCATGACACCATACAGTGTATACGCATGGATCATGCTGCATGACACCATACAGTGTATACGCATGGATGATGCTGCAGGACACCATACAGTGTATACGCATGGATGATGCTGCATGACACCATACAGTTTAGAATTCATCATGTCTCTGAAGTGCTTCTCCCCATCCCGTTGCTTGGCTACCAACAAACAACTCCCATTTTAAAAGTATTTCTTCTTTGGTTAGCTTCTCATCCTGGGAATTGAAAAACGCAAAAAATTAGAATAGAATATTGAATTGCAATGACTATACAGAAACTAACAGATACCTATCATTATTATATGACAAAACTGACATATTTCAGAAACCATTACTTGGAGTATTAAAATCAGTTACATATATTATATATATTATTATTAGAATATAGAGTATAATAAGTTTAACGTAGCAAAACCACAGTATATATGTTGCATTTAAATTATTACATTATCAGTGTCCGCAGAATGTATCAGATGCCTGCTCTCCATCCCAGCATGATCATAGCCCGTCGGTAAGATCCAGTCTTTTACCTCATCAGGGTCCATCTTTCCATTCTGATTTTTGTCTCTAAACGAGTAAAAGTGTTGCCTCTCCGTTTCTAACCATTCTGGTTCTACGTCACCATTTTCATCTTTCTGTGAGAAATCACCTGTTTGTAATTGAAGGGTAGAATTAGTAGATCATAATATATGAAGAAAGATTCATAATAACTTGGTTTTCCACAGGAATTTTAGAAGGTAATAGAGCAATTCGTGACCAATTGCTAATTGGAGTCAATGCATGTGTCGTAACTGGCCTCAATACATGCGTAAACTCTAATTGTTCAGAGACTGTATTGGAATTGCCAAAGTAAAAGGCTAGAAATCAAGGCGTCGATTAAGACATGAAGGTGAGTCGGAGCATTTATGCAGATGTTGCAAATGAATGTCAGCTTGGAAGACATATCGGAGCCGACATGCATTATAGCTGTGGAGAAACCCAGAATACATAATATAAGCCTTGTCTACATGAGGATTTCTTATCCCGGGTTAAGAACAGTCTCGGGTTAGCGTAACCCTAGTTAAGAAATATGCAGCGTCTATACGTGTACCACCCGCTCAATGCTTGAGCGGTTCTGGCACGTAAGTGTCGCATTGTATGTACGCATCGATGTAAGTACGCATTCACTATTGCCTATCACAGGGTTAAGGAACCCTGCGCTATCTCAGGTTAACACCGTCTATACGACGCTATCCCGAGACAGATCTTAACTCGGGTTAGCTTAACCCCCTTCACATCGCGAGGTTAAGCTATCCCGGGTTAAGGCTTAACCCGAGATAAGCCCTCGTGTAGACGAGGCTCTAGTGTATAGGGAATGGCATAACATCATATCATAAGTAAATAATCTGAAATCTTTGACATTACTTACGAATATGATACTATATATTTCTATAATCACGCCAATAACAGCAGGTTTACCTGATTAACTTACCAAGATATTCACCCACAGATATAAATCCATCCTGATCTTTGTCAACGTCATCCATAGTTTCCTGTATATATGAAGGATACACTTAAGCTTTTGCACGGGTAATGCTCTAATGAAGAGTAAACGTTTATTGACCAATGAATCGAATCAATCACACATTTTACTTATAGATAAGATGTATCTCTATGCTCAAGTCAAAAAATCTCAGGAAATTTCCAGCACCTAATTATATGACAACACAAATTTCGATAATGCATGGATGCTTGGAGAAATACATGGATCAATGAATGGATGGATGGATGAGACAAACAGATAGGCAGACAGACACATACATACATAGATAGAAATATCATGGATTTTTAGCATTATATTTATACCTCAACAATATTTTAACAAAAATATTTTCTACTTCATCAATTTGAAGTTGATAACAGTCACAGCACAGGTTTATTTATGGCCATGGTACCTGAACTATGATGTCATGCATGTGTTCACTCTCCTCAGGGTGAACGAAGCTAATAAACTCCTTGAGCGTCAACTTGCCATCACCGTTCTCATCGGCTCCTTCCCATCTACGCTTGTCTCTCTTCAGCATGTTTGCATACATCTTTCCATGCTCAGAGTCATCTGCAAAACAATGCAAACAAGTGTATTACACTGTATATGATATATACACTGTATATATATACAAGTGGGTTACACTGTATATATGTATATATATACAGTGTGTGTATATATATATAATATATCAGTAATAAATAATGTCAAAGAAGTTTGAAACGTATTTTACCAATTTCCATTCAAAGTTTAGCATAAATAAAAACAAAAATGCATATATGTGACCCGTCACATCGAATCGGGTCTTAAGTCGCATTGTTTACTTTTGAGCTAGACATGCTAGAAGTTGCATTGGTTATTTTTGGGCGAGTACGGGATTTTCACATTAATAGTTTCATAAATACCTTATCTATGTATTCCATGAGATGAAATAAATCAATTATTGCCGGAAAGTTGAGGAGCACTTTTATGAGGAGTATTGTCTTTGGGAATCGCTAATTATCCGTCAAAACAATCAATTTTCACTCCAATTTAATGGCCGCTGGAGCTTGCTATACTATAAATAACACGTCCATCCCGGTGGGCATATGTTTCCATGAACCAGGCTGATCGCGTGACGTCAGTGTACGCACGAACTCGGCTATCTCCGATGTTGAATGCATGTACGCATACAGCCTGCTGATGTTTGCGCATGCATCAGACTTTCCGTATATCAAAGAATGATGCAAAAACCCTGACACTAACCCCAACCCTAACTATAAATCGACTCGGATCGACTTATATACTATCTATAGTATCCCAAACACTATCTATGGTGTCACACGGTCTGGATGGACCATAGAAATAATATAGATAACCATAATATAATAACTAATATATAATATAGATAATATAATAATATGGTTATCTATATTATTTCTATCGGACGGTGGTGGTCTGACTTCACACTGACGTACACTGACGTCACGCGATCAGTCAGGTTCATGGAAACATATATCCACCGTCAATCCCGGTACCAAAATGAGGCTGGGGGAATCCTCTCTCCAACTAGGTTAATAAATACGTCATTTTAAGCCAATCAAATGCGATTTTATTGGATTAGGTTAGGGCAATTTTCGTATACAACTCCACGGCCGACGAAAGCGCCATGCTGATTGGCCGAGAGTGGGTCACGTGTAATGGCGGCGCCCATGTTATCAAAACGTGGTTAGAAATTCTCCATCGATTTAAAGCAATAAAACCAATAAGGCCAAGTATGCCATTAATATTGGCTGATAATGAACGGATATTGAATCATTTATATACGTAGATTTGATTGCTGTTGTTTACAAACCGATACATGCCGGAATAATGGCAACATCGGCAGCGAAAGCGCTAAACGATCTGACCCCATGCAATTTGCATGGCAGAGATGCTAATGCACTGCTGGAATTTGCACTCGATTATTTTGATGATGAACGTGTGATTGTGTGTGATGTGGAAGATGAGAGTGATGACGAAGAGTCTGAGGTGTTTGATATTCCTGATGCACTGGATTTTGGTGCTGTGCATGCCAACCAACAATCAGGTATTTTGTTCACTTTTACAACCAAACCAAGTGTTTTATGCAGTCTGTGGTCGAGTTTGTCAAGATTTTCAGCTGTAAGGATATCGCCGCCCCCTCCAAGTTGGTCCTGGAGGAGCCTGAATTAAATTTAAGTTTTGAATTTTTATAGTAACATTTGATATAGTTCCAAGAGTGTATATGCAACATTTGGTTGCAATATCTTGAATATAAAGTATTGGTTGCTATGGAAACTTAGGCTGAGAAGGTCTATGTCCCCCAGGGTACTGCCGGAACGTACCCTGGGTACGGTCCGGTATACCGAAACGTACCCTGGTACTATCTAATATGCCGGACCGTACCTCGCCTACTCCACTAACGAGTCTAGGGAGTCGCCTACGCCTACTCCCTAACCCTAACCCTAACCCTAATCCTAACCCTAACCATATCAAATAGTGACCAGGGTACGTTCCGGTATACCGTATCGTACCCAGGGTACGTTTCGGCAGTACCCTGGGGGACATAGACCCTATGAGCGAAACTTAGCCTTTGATTACAACTATTTTTAACCTCAATTTTCTCAGTTTTGTTTCTGAATTTCGCGAATTTGTCATGAACAAATCTGGCAATTTCTCGGCAACCACTAAAGATAGAGAGTTGAGAGTGGTATCAAAATGAAGCTTATGACCCAAGGAATCTGAATATTTGCATAACTCCATATCCCAAAATATCCCTTTGAGTCCCAGAACTATTTGCAAAATTTCCACGAAAATTATTACCAATAGATTTTTAACTATATATGTCTTTCATTAATGGGTTTAGACAAGCAAAAATATACATTTTCTTGAAGCTATCTTCATATTCTATGCAACCAACATATTTTGGCTACCAAAAATCCAATATGCATACGGTAGCCATCTTGGATTTTGTGAAATTTGCATAAATAGTTATGTAATGTTTTCAAAATCCCATGTAATGCATTTCTATCACACAAAAACAATGCAAAATACATCAGCAAACAATGCAAATACATCAGAAAACAATGTTCAATCAAAATAAACACTTTATATACCCTTTACAGCTGTAGTCCTTGCCGGTACACCCAAAATCCAGTCATCGCTAAAGTAATCTCGGATACTAGGAAGTTTATGAATTGCCATAGCTGATGATGTGGATGCCACAGGTTCATCATCATCATCATCATCGTCACTACCTGATTCTGAATTGGGGTTGGCGAATTCATAATACAGGGATTTCACTATGAGAATCTGAGTCTAATTCACCCTCACTAACATATTCTCTGTCACTTTCACTTTCACTTGGAATATCTGACAACAACCTTAGTGCTTCCTCAGCTGAAAAACGATTTCTCCGGCTCATATTTCACATATTTGTCCGAAAATTACATCTAAATTATCTGAAAACACTTCTTCATGGGCGCAGCCATGTTTAGAGACATTCGCACAAACCAGGACTTGTCTCAGGAGGGTTGCAAACGGCGGCTGTAACTTTTTATATTTTCAGCTGTCAAAGTCAGCTGATAAAACAAAACATTGATTACGTCATAATTTTGTCTTACTAATTTTACAAATTATTTGCAATCAAAACACCATGTACTGCCGTAGTTTAATAAAATACGTATTTGCGGGTATTTGCAATAGCCGAAACAAGGCATAGGGTGTCTGTGAGCCAAGATATGATGAAATAAAGATCGTGACGTCAGACCGCGCCAAATGGCGCGTTCGGGACTCAAAGGGTTAAGACCTTATTCGATGTGATGGGTCACATATGTGCTTTTAATCGTACACCGGCTCAGGGATATAATTGCACACTTTTTAACCGCACTACCTTCCTGTCTATCTCAAAAGGTGATCTTGTTATAGTGTTTAAAATTCAATATATCATTAAGCAATATACCATCTTCCTGTCTATCTCCAAAGGTGACTTTTTTATAATGTTCAAAAGTCATTGCATCTGAGTCTGAGCCATGCTGATAGTGAGTCCATTGTCTGTCCACATCTTCATCTATATACCTGAGAAAAAATGGATCTTTAGTCAAATTTGTCAAATTGACAAAATGAAATTTGTAATTTAAGAATACAGTAAAAATTTTAGTGTCTACTTACTGTTTCTGTATAGAGGTAATCCAGCTTGTAAGTTCAGGTTCTGATACAAATCCATCTCCATCAGTATCAATTTTATCTACAATAATTCTAAAAGAAATACATTTTTATAAATTACAATAATCACTGAAGTTAAATTACCAGTACATATATTCTGTTGAGCTTTCTTATTTCATTATGCGTGAAATTCTAAAACTGTCAAAATGTGTTATTTCGGAGGCTATAGGAAGTTTCTGGCCCAGCTCTTTCATTATTTTAACCAAGGTTCAGTTCACAAATAGAGTTTACACAATCAATGTCATCAAAGCATATACAAGGAATACTCACCCAAGTCGCCTTCTGCTCTCATCTGGAGGAAGTTGATCAAACTGTCCAGCTTCATTCTGACCGAGGAATGCTTCGTGATCATACTGTGCGTTGTGCTCCACACCATCGAAATGTTCCTCAGAGCTAAGAGGCTACAAGCAAAAAAATGGTTACTTTAAAAGTGGGAAGCAATTCCCAACTCTAGCCAGGTTGAGGGAAACGACCAGTCTTCTTGTTGCGACCACCCACAAGGGCCACTACACAAACAATCATAGGAAACACTCTACAAAGCTCTCTCTTTCACCAAGAACACAACAAATATGGTGCATGCGCATTTGCTCGCAGGTAAACAACCCACAGCTATTGAGATCTCTCATGGCTATTGTATTGGAATTTGTCAGAAATTCTCCTGGTCTAATCTAATCTACGATTTTATGAGGTTTAATGGGGGAATTCCAAAGTCAGGGCCGTAGTGGCCGCCACGGCAGCACGGCACTACCGTGGCACTATTTTCACCAAAAAAATTGTGCAGGGAACCAAGACTGTTAACTGACTGGACTGTCTGGTATTACTATTAATACTGATCAATTAGAGGTGTTATATCAGTGCTCTAAGATTTGGTATGTGTATTTAATATGACAATATGCCTCAGGGTTCTCCCCAAGATGAAATTCAAACAGGGGGGAGGGGAGGGGAGAGGGGGGGGTCCGGGGGCGTGTTTTTTTACCGTAGCGCAACTAATTAATGCGTAAAATCGTCACCGACACCATAGACGGTATTGGGGTTCTGTATATATAAGATAGCCGAGTCGGTGTAGGCAGTTAGGTGTTTGGCTGTGGGACGGTTGACTGTTTGTACTTGTGTATTGTCTGCAGTGCATGCGTGGCACGGTGAAAATACGTACACGTGCCGTGTGTCCTGGTCGAATGGGAATTCTTGACGATCGATTCCCTCGCTGGCAAACTTTTATTGTGGTGGAATTTAATCGGGGCGGAGGTATTTTAAACAGGGCGCAACGATTGAAACAGGGGGGGGTTTTCCCAAACGGGGCGCGCGCGCGCCCCGTTTGCGCAACGTAGAGAGAACCCTGTGCCTATATAAGGTATTGTGATTCAAATTCAAACTTCAAAACATACAGATGTACATGGTGAAAGTATAAATGCAGATTGAAAATAGGCTTATTTTTCATAATTATGTACTGATACCAGAGCCGTAGGCTGAGTTTTTAGTATTTTTTAGTATTTTTAGTATTTTTTAGTATTATAGCTCATAATAAGCAGGAGATATCAAATAATTATGTTACAATCTACTCTTAGCATTTTGAGTTGACAATGGGTGGTTTTGAACAATGTTTATGTTCAAAACACCACACCGGCAAACAGGGGCGTAAATCCGTACCGAGGAGTGGGGGGGATGATCACGCGAAGGAGGGGTCTAGGGGGCTCTCCCCCAGAATTTTTTTGAAATTAGACCCCTTCAGATGCGTTTTCTGCGCGAGCAGGGGAGGGGGTCCGGACCCTCTGGACGCCTCCCCCCCTGTACACGCCCCTGCAGTAATTGAAATGATTTAGGTCTGCCCATGTCTCCAAATTATCATAATTAGCTGAACTTTCAAGTGGGGCACGGAGGAAGGAGTTTTTTTTTTTGAATCTCAGGGGGGGATATTTGTACAGGCCATCCCCCCCCTCCTTCAAGAGCGGGGGGGATGCATCCCCCCATCCCCCCCGGGATTTACGCCCATGCCGGCAAACTACCGCGAAGATGGCACACAGCCACACACTCAATCGTTCTGTGACTAGTCAACATTGATTAACTCGTCCAGCTATATGCAAGCACCTAGAAAAACGATCAGACGAAATAGGAGAACAAAGTGCCGAGTGAACACAATTATGTCGTTTAATACCCGTGGAGTTACCGTGTTATCTATACTTTAATGGCAAATTTCGTTTGAGAAAACGGTTAGTATAGTTAAAAAATTTGTTCACTCAGTTCATGAAAATATTGCCTTTTTATAGGGTATTGACAACAACTTACAATAGTTTTTATAATGCTCTGTTGTGTAGTGAAACGGGACGGTTAAAAAATATACTGCCACCACCGATTTCTAGCCATTGGCACAATGCTAAAACAGTCGAGCTGCTACGGACTGCAACGTGCATTGTTTATTCTATTGTCTACTAGCTTCTTCTTCTTCTTCTCGAGTCACTACACTACACTCGGCCCAGCCACTGCAGCACACAGGACTTGGCACGGTAGTTGAAAGCCTCAAGGTCTCCAGGGCTACATGGCTCTGGCAATAGGGGGCATTTCAGGAGATGTCTTTCAGAGGTATGTCTGGTCCTCCCCGCAGTCGCATTCGATTGGGCCTTGGTCGCATTCAGTGTATCCCCATTTCTGCATGAGTGCCCCACATCGACCAAACCCTGTCCTGAGGCGATTTAGGCATAACCCCGTCGGCCATACCTCGTTGGCTCCGGGTGGGAGGGATTCCTGGGGTCTGAGTGAAAGCTTATGTTGGCTTGCCTGAAGATGCTTTGACCATTGGGCGATCCTGTAGTTTTGGAGGTTGCCATCCAGGGGTTGAACCGCGTGGATGAAACTGTGCCTGGACTTTAGTCTCTTCTTTACAGTTTCATGCTGGAAGAGGGGGTGGCGAGGGTAATTTTCTTGGTTAAGTTTCTCTACTTGGGATGAAGCCATTCGTCTAACGTGTGGAGGAGCGATGCCACAGAGCAGGTAGAGGTCATCTACGTTGGTTGGTCTCAAGCATCCAGAAATGGCTCTGCAGGCAATGTTCAGAACTGGGTCAATTTTTGCAGCATGGGGCGACCCACTCCAGACAGGGCACGCATACTCAGCCGCAGAGTAGCACAGGGCGATAGCAGTGGTTCTGATTGTCCCGGTGTCTGTTCCCCATTTAGTATTTGCCAATTTCTTTAGAATACTGTTTCTGGCACCCACTTTGGCCTTTGTCTTGATGATGTGATTCTTGTAAGTTAGAGGGCGGTCTAAAGTAACACCTAGGTAGACTGGGCTATAGGTATGTTTCAGCCATTTGTCATACCATTTGACTTTCAGTTGGCGGTTCGCCTGCTTGTTCTTTAGATGGAAGGCACTTATTTGAGTTTTCCCGGGATTGGCTCGTAGATGGTTTGCTGTGTAGTAGGTGGTTAGGCCTGCAAGAGCATCGGTGATGGACCGTTCGCCTTCGCCAAAGAACTGTTTTTGTGAAGCAATGCAGAGGTAATCTGCATAAAGAAAACTCCTGGTGTTTGTGTGTACTGGCTGGTCATTTGTGTATAGATTAAAGAGCAGAGGGGCCAGGATGCTTCCTTGTGGGAGGCCATTTTTCTGTCTACGCCATCTGCTGCGGTTACCATTGAGATCCACGAAAAACCTCCTATTTGCCAACATGTTCCTGATTAGTTCTGCTAGTCTCACATCCTTTACTAGCTGGTATAGTTTTTTGGTTAGAATTCGATGGTTGACTGTGTCGTAGGCTGCGGAGAGGTCAACAAAAGCTGCTCCAGTAATTAACTCTTTCTCATACCCGTCTTCGATGAACTGGGCAAGGTTAAGGAGTTGGCTTGTACAGGATTTTCCTGGTCTGAAACCTGCCTGCTCTAGGATGAGGAGTTTATCCATGTAAGGGGTCAAACGGTTGAGGATGAGCCTTTCAAAGAGCTTGTATGTATGGCAGAGCAATGAGATGGGCCTATAGCTAGCTGGACTAGCTGAGTCTTTACCAGGCTTTAGTATTGCAATGACTCTGGCTTTCCTCCACAGCTTTGGGATGTTGTTAGTGCAGAGGCAGCTATTAAACATATCAAGCAGCCATTGAAGAGCAGCGGGGCCGAGATGCTTGATCTGCTCACACAAAATATCGTCAAGTCCGGCAGCTTTATTATTTTACATCAATTTGATACCCTTAGTCAGTTTGCTCATATTGAAAGGTCTTGTGAAGTCTTGGTTCTCTTGTGTAGTACATCGAGCCTTTGGTAGTTTGGCCCTACTGGGATGATGATTATGGTCTCCCTGGCTGTTCACAAGGAGTTGATGAGCAACCTAGTCAGCAGTCACTTCTTGGTCGTACTTTAGAGAGGTCGTTTCCTAGCATCCGAATTGTCTTCCACGCTTTTCTACTACTATGGGTCATGTTTGTGGACTGGATGAGTTCCTGCCATTTCCTACGTCTGCCTTCTGCTATGGCTTCAGTTAGTTTCTCACCAGAGTCAAGCGTGTGGTCACCGAACGGATCACTCTGAAAACAGTTTACATGGCAGTCTTCGACGTTAGGCGGTGGACCGTGGTCCGAGACCACCAAAATCTCTCTCGGTCCAGTAAATTTAACAAGTTAAATGGACCGTCGGTCCACCCGTTTTTTTCAGCCACTCTAGTTACAGTATTTAAATAATTTATCAAAGTATTTATGAGACTAC